TTTGCATGTTTCTCCCTGATTTCTCACTGATTCACGTAGTGTTGGTCAGCCCCTTGCATAGCACTGTATATATTACATTAGTACGTAATACTTAACCGCTGTTTCAAAATGTTCTTGTTTAGTTCCACAGATGACCTTGTTCACTAATCGACCCTTAAACTAACTTAATACAAAGGCTATCAACTGACAGCTTGAGATAGAGTGAAAGCTATCATTTTATCTTTAAAATTTCATCTTCTTTAAGTTCTTGTGTGTTTATACCAAATATTTTGTCAAGATAATATAAAGTCAAAATAATTTTGCCAGAAGATTTTTTTTTTTTTGTCCTGTATGATTTGGCATTCCATCTAAATAATCACCCTCGTGTGTCTAAAACCGTGTCATGACTTAGGAGGCCAATGCTGAAAAATAAATACATGGAATATTGATGACTTAGTTTATATGTAACATCGCTCTAGGCTTAATTTTATCCCGCTGTGTCTTATTTCTAAAAGTGTGCCAAATGGAGCTTTTCTTTGAAGTCAGGATACAAAGTTCAAAACTACTAAACACGTTTTGGGATGTTTGCTCCAAGTAATATAGACACTGTGAGTTTATATGCGTGACTCATGTTGACTTCAAATGTGAACCTCATGTGCTGTCCCCAACTATAGAGTGCCTGTTTTTTTTTTTTTTATTTTAGTGTAGGAGACCTAAGAAACTGTGGATAGTTCAGACATTGTGTAGCATTACTTCTCTGTTTTGTTTTTGTTTTAATCCACATGAAATTTTATCACCAACCTAAGTACAAACCATAGAATTTATTCATGATTCCTGATGAATGTATAGATTTTCGCTATTACAATATAATATAGTATATACTATAGTATATATAGTATTTTATATTTATGTAAAATATTTATTATGAATTTTAAATTTATTAGTCTTATTGCTTTGTTTATATTAATAAATATAAATTTATTATAAAATAGTTATGAAAAAGTGGGACAGCTAGAAACAATTACGTCATTTCTAGACTTTTTTGTTTCACCAAGTCAATCTCAAGAATAAGGCAAGCTAGGCCTTGTTTTATTATTGCTTCCAAAGACAATCACCTTTAAAATCAGAATTTCAGAGGGTTTCTAACTGATCACTGTGTGAATTCAAGGTATTTATACTAAAGGTTACTATAAAGTAGATGTTTCAGTTGTTGAACCCCTAAATAATTAATTTAAAATAGGAAAACTTTCTAACATGTTAGTCTTTGCATGGCTTCCTTCTGTAATATCCTGGGTTGGAAGCTCAGTGGCTACTCCTATTGCTGCTCCTTCTACAGGGTTAAATCAGTGTTCTGTGGCAAGGCCTGGGTCACTGGTCAGATCCCTAGTTTTGACACGTTGAGCTGTTGAAGGAGGCCAGGTTAGCACTGCAGCCATTATCCTGGGGCAGGGTGTCTGGCATAGAGCATCATCCAAATTATTCTGCCATTGATGACATTGAATCTGGAACTGTCAGTGTATATTTTGGTTGGGGGAGGAAGGAAAGTAAAGAAAGTAGGGTGTATCCAAAGAGAATGGAGAGAGAATGTGACTAAGATTCATCCTTCCCTAAAGGGAGGAACTGAAAATTTGACCGATTCCATTCAGCACATAGTCCTAGAACTCTTGCTTGTCATCCTCTGGTTCTTTTGTCAGCCGTTTCAGTGTTCTCTTGCCAGTGTAGTAAATGATAAAGTTACCCAAAATTAACATATGCTGTATTCAACAGTGGAGGATAAGGAGAGTAAAGAGAAACAAAATTAATTAAAACATGTTAGTTAAAATAGTAGGTTAGTTCATATATGAGGCAGCAAGGAAGCAACGGTAGAGGCCATAGTATTTGTTTCTGCAACTGATCAGGGGACCACACAGATATTTACGATTTATTTTCTCCCCAGTCTATCACCTGTACACCTTTTATTCAACCAGCTACTAAGCTAATCAAGATTCTTTATCCAGAGGAGTGACCAGTGTCTCTCATTCCTTAGAGACCGAAAATATAGAGGGTTGTAAAAATCAGTAATTTTTCAAATCCATATAATAGTGTCAGAGTTTCTGTGGGGTCCATGTTTTCTCTCCCCTTTGTTATAGCAGCACCCCAGTTTCCTCATCAGGATCAGTTGTCCGGATGCATTTTGAGCATGTTTTATTTGTTCATCTGGCAACGTGAGAGCATCAAATGGTCATTTGGCTTTTTCAGCTTCCAGGTAAATTGTTAAGCCACCCAACTAGCAGAGCTAAAGTTATAGGGAAGGGAAGCAAAAATTTTGCAAGTGATTAGCTGTGATTTCAAAGGGCATCTGCACACCTGACTACCCGGTTCCTGGAATAGTATGTTCTGGCCATGGAAGGAACTGCATCATCGATGATGACTAGTTCAGAGCATACATCTTATCCTACAAGACAGCACCCTGACCTTTGCAGGGTACTACCTTCCAGCTGCCACTCTGAGTTATTAATGTAAGTAAAAAGACAGCTTTTTCTATTGATGAGGGACATAAGACCACTGTATTTCATGGCATCTCCCTATTTTACTTTTTTCTCTGTAAAGTGAGTTTGTCAGGCAGAGACTTACTATACAGGATATCTCAGTGGTGTGTAAGGCATTCAGGAATCTTACCACCGAGGCTATCGGCAGAAGCGTGATTGGTAGGAAAAGACAATTAAAATCCAGAGTAAGCATCTACTCTTGCAGGGGTGAACAGATGTCCACTCTATTGTGATAGAGTCCAGTGGAATCTCTTCACAACCAAGTAACTGTCTGGTCCCACGGGTGAGGTGCTTTAAAATGGGCTCAGGGCTTATACTGGCGGCATAGTAGGCTCTGAACAATAACAGTATCTGCCTGAGGAAAGGGAAGTTTATGTTTGACCCATGCAGAGCTGGCATTCCTTTCACTTTGGCCACTTGGTACTTGAACCCTTTATATAAAACACACTGGCCTGGGAAGGAGACTGGCTAATAGTCTCAGATGTGGCTATTTTGCCCAATGGATCATTAATAGCATTTTCCACAATGCTGTTAACTTTTTTTTTTTTTTTTTTTTTGCAATTTTTGGCCGGGGCTGGGTTTGAACCCGCCACCTCCAGCATATGGGGCCAGTGCCCTACTCCTTTGAGCCACAGGCACTGCCCAATGCTGTTAACTTTTTGACAAGACTCTTCATAGAGTACAGCTAGTCTTTTCTTTCCTAGGACTGTTCTA